TTCCATAGTTTGGCACACCACCACGCTGAGTCCTCCATATATAATATATAGTTCGCAAAAGCACGCTTTTGAAAAAAGAGTTAAACGTACAGAAACTAAAAAAATTCGCAACAATGCAAAGCTTTTCATTTTAATATGCATCTAAGCCAAAGTTTTTAAGAACTATTCAGCATGAGGAAGACTTTGTATTTCGAATTTCGAAACAAAAGTATAGTACTACTTTGAGAGTATATTGAGATAATATTAGACTTTCGAAGACAATCCGCGGCTGAAACTTGTATTCCATCACCTATTAATTCAATCTAAATGAAGGATATATAATTTGATTGTATTAAATATAGATATATACATACATATATATCGACGCATTATCCAGAGTTATTTTGAAATTTTGGAATTTCTAACTTGCACTGTTCTTTTAGCAAAATAAAACTAAAATCATTTTCTTGAGAATAAAAATATTATCACAAGGCTTCAGAAAGAGCTGGAAATAACCCAAATTTTAATGTTTTTCTAAGCAAAAATCGATTTTAAATCGATTAACAGCAATGTTCTAACTGCTGTACCTTTTCAGACCTTATTTATTTATCAGAGACTTTTTAATCGGAAACTCAAATATTTAGTTTATAAAATATTTATTTTACAAGAGAAATTAATACAAAAAGATGATTACATTATATGGTGATGGCACACAAGTTTAGATAAAACTTTTATCAAGGAAACCTGAAGTAATCACGGGCTTAATGCGCTGTTTAGTAGATTGGCAATATTATTTTGACACGAGACTTTTTCGAATAGTTACCGCATATGTTGAGTTCATTTTCTAAAATCATTTAACATTTAGTATACAGTACAACAAAAGTTCTAGAACTCTGTTATATGATTTCATTTTGACACTAAAACGTTAGCCACAATGACAAACCTTTTTCTTTTAGTTCAAAACAATAAATACTTTTTGAAACGTTACATTTGAACTCTTTGATTTCTGCCAAACTTGTTTCTTTAAAATGCTTATTTATCTACTTCTACTTCTTCTACTACTACTCTACTATCGAACTACTTCTACTACTGCCTATGTACTACTTAAACAAATATGGAACCATACTAACTACAAAACTACTTACATCTTCTACTATTCTACTATAACTACTCTAACTACAACTCAACTACAACCTATATACTACGAATTTACAATGAGGTAAAGTATACGTATTAAAGTATCTATACTAAAAGTAACAGCACAGTGTATACTTCGACAACAACAATTGCAACAAAAACAACATGAAACAAGAAGCAGGAGAATACCAATCGCCAACTCGAAATCTATTTCTTAATATACACGTACACATATATGTAATCTCCCGATACACCCCAGTTATGTCTGTCAACAACACAAGCGCCGCTACGTCTTGAGTCCCTGATAAAAAGAAAAGAATGTCCCCGAACACCATACACCATGCCACACACACCCGGGCATGTGTGTATCCGTATCGATAAGCAGACATTTTGACACATTTGACGACTGCGAAGACAGAAGACAAGCAGCAGGACCAGCAGGAGCAGCAGTTACCCACGCAGCTCTCTGGTAAATCAGGCAAATATAGCTAAAGTTTGCTGTTTTTCAATTGTCTGTCCCGCACGTGTGCCACCTTGGGTCTTGGGTGCTGAACAACAACAGGTGATAATCGTGTTATGTATGCCATCTTTGGCTCTGAAATGTAGATATTCCAGGAGAGGGCCTACACCGCCCCAGGAAGCGTTAATTCACGCATTGTCAATGCGGGAGATATGCCGGTTGAACTTGGCATAAATTATGTATATTAAAAATTCCTTAAATATTCTCGACAGCCAGAGTACAATGCTGAAATATTTCCATGCAGTTGCCCGACTTTCAGCCGATGCTCGGTTGTGCATTTTTGACAAATTTTCCCGTTTTGCTGGCATCACGTCGCATTCCTGACGTGCCAGGCCAAAGGGTCCTGCAAGGGGGTTGTTTTTGGGTTGTGGACAACGCTTAAAACTAATTGCTGGCCCTACACATTCATACTTATGCTACATACATACATACGAAAGAGTCGTGTGCAGCCGGTGAAATGTCAACGGGATATCCTTGCGCTATCCTTGCTTCCGTTCTTTGTGAAGAGCCGTAAGCAGTCAGTCGTCTTCAGCCAAGTTAGTCAGGACAGTCAAAGGCGCAGCAAGGACATAATTTCAACACTTGCACACGCCTTCTTCTCCTTACTTACGTTAACCCATCCGAACGTCCCACACGGAAAGAAAAGTGCTTCTTCTGATATGATGATGTTCGTTCGTAAGCCGACCCTAATTTATTATGAAAAGAGTTTTCCCAGACTCGTAATCAAATCAACTTCTTGCTGACCTCGAGGTTAAGTCTGCTGACCTTATCTACTTTAATTAAGAAGGGTCTTTTAAGCGAAAAAATAAAAGGATGAGAAGTAGGCTCTTAAGTACCATCAGTAACTATTTTGCTGACTGGCTCAACACTTTGTCGCTGAATAAGTACTTGGAAATTTCTGGGAATATTTGAATATTAAATCCCTACTATTATAGGCAGAGAAAATGAATGGGAAAATAATAACTTCGCTTAAGTACTTACCGATAATAAAGTAGACAAAAAGTCAACTTGCTTTGGGGCATAAATTAGCTCCCTTTGGGACTCGAACTAACATCTAAAACCAAAATGATGAGCAATCAAATACCGATCAATTCAATATTGAGCTTCTCCTTTAAGAGTAAAATGGTACAAAGGACTCGAGTCATAAGTAAATACCAGGCTTTTGAGGCTTTCAAAATGTAAATGACTGAATATATGGGGTAGTGGGCTGGGTTGCTATTAGCGACTATGACAATGAAAATATTGGCAGGGGGAGGGCACTAAACCAGCCTACCCATAGAAGACTCACGTACTCGTCACACACATGACCGAGCGAGGACGGAGAAGCACTTCCTCTTTTTAGCCGGTCTTGCTAGCTGGGATGTCGTCCCTTTGACCCAGATGCGTGCAGGATGCGTGGTGGCGGTTTCAAGGGTCCAACGGAGCTCAGCGAGCCTGAACCGGATTAAGCAAGAAAATAATTTGCCGTTCGTGCCTTTTCACCTACTCCTGGCAAAAAAAAAAAATAAAATAAAAAAAATTACGCTGCCTGGATACGAAGGCACAAAAGGAGGCGGTCGTCGCTGAACACTTGACACAAATGAGCGGAGCTTCCTCTCCATTTCCCGTCTCAAAGGGGGGGCAGGCGAGTGTGTGCGGCTCGGCTCGGGCACAATAAAAATGTAAATGGAACTCTAATGTAGTATTCCTTGGCAAGCGTGTATTAAGTCGAATAAATGTCACCCCGGCCAGCATCCGCATCCGCATTTGGTCGGGGCTTAACTCCGCACTTATAGCTGTGGATAAGACAATTACGCTGGCTTCGTAGTTTCTCCTTCGACTTGGGTGCGCCACGTTCACATCCACATGCTCATCTGCTCATCATTGGGATTCGCTAACGTGTTGGTATTCAAAATAGCAGTCGAAGCAATAAAGCGCACTCTACGGCTTAGGGCAGCCGGAGAGCGCCAGCTCGTATATCAGACTTATGACTTCTGCCAAACAATTTGGGATGGATGTATTGTGGATGAAGGCACGCAGAGCGCCTGCCGCCGCCTCATCCATCTCTCATCCCCAGAGTAACCCCAGTCACTCCTGGCAGATAGGTATTAAGTACCCTCATTTCGCCCACGACACGCAGTGAAAAGTAAAGCTTTTAACGGCAAAGAAAAAAAAAAAGGGGAGCGAAATGAATAAAATGAATGAAGGAGGGAAGCCCCAAGAACCAACAACCAATTTGTACGGTCAGGACGGACTGGACTGGACTGGCTGGATTTTTTTTTGTGGGCTGTCAGGAACATTTCTCATGCAAATTGAAAGCCTTCGCAGCCTTAAAGGGCCATCAATGGGGCCCCAGCGCTAACGGGTTGTCCGTTTCCATTAGTGGGAATGGCAATAGAAAATGAATGGCCAAGAAAGATGGAGAGCGGAGTCCAAAGAATGCCAAGCCGAAGAAGTGTGCCTTGCCCTGCTCCAGCGGTGTTAATTATGTTGGCATGATAATTGCATTACAATAGGCTTGATTAGTTTTTAATTGAATTGTGCACTTATTCAGGGAGTCAATCCTGTGAGAATCTGCAACCGGACTTTTAAAGAGGTTTTCGCTTCCTTAACTTCTGGCCATTCGCAGTCGTAGCTTTGTGTGTGTACTCCCCACAGGAAGAAGGGGGCTGAACGATGGGGGCAAGTTCGTAGAGTTCATAAAGCAAATTACGAAAGCCCCATAAAAGTGAATCTCCTCTGACTCTCCTCCCAGCTCCTGCTGTTACTTCCGCTCGAGGTAAGGCCCTGGCCATCCATTTGACACCATTTCCCCGAAATCAATTTATATTATAAAATACTTTGACTAATTTATGAAAACAATAAATGCGTCTGCAAATCAAGTCACAGTCACCCTAAAAAGTTCATTCACAAAGCTATTCAGCAAATTGATGACTATAAATTCAATTTAATGTGCGTTGCCTTTTCGCACACCCGAAGAGAAGGATGGCTTGAGCGACTGAGAGAGAGAGAGAGAGCAAAGTGTGGTCATCCCCCAAGGATGCGCTCAAGAGCAGCGAGGAGCAGCTCTTCGTGGATTTCGTGCGTTTGCGCTGAAGCTGGAGCTGATTCTGGCGCTGCTTCTGCTGCTGCCGCCGAGTGCGACGCCAAAGGGATGCCAGTTGGAAGAGCAGGATGGCGCTTGCCAGAAGCGGAATCGGAATCAGAGCCACCGGAATCGCGACTCAAAAATCCTCTGGGACCCTGCGCAGGCGCTGAGCTGTCCGCTATTTGCAGGGATGCTGAAAATCTCGACGCGGTCCAGCGACGCCAGCTGCGACCGCGACCGCGACTGCGATTGTGGCAGGACATAAAAGGCCAGGCCAGTGCTGGCAGCACTCCTACTCCGAGTTTGCACTCCTGCGCCTCCAGTTCGCTCCGCTCGCTCGCTCGTTTATTCCGCCCGTGGGACCCACTGCATCTCTCAAGTTGGCGAACTCTCGAACTGGCTACCTCCTGCGCTCAGTTCGTGCACGCTCGTGGTCGCGTTCGCACTGCACTTCGGGGCAGTCGCTTCGAATCGATTGGGATAGCCATGGCAACCATGACAGCACCAGCAGTGGCGCAAGCACCACCACCACCACCACCAACATCTCCTCGGCAGTGTGTCAGAGGTGCAGCTCCTGGCCGTCGTCGCTGGCGGCGCAGTAGCAGCAGCAACAGAAGCAGCAACAGCAGCAGCAGCTGCGGCCAGTAGTGACAGCATCGGCTCCGGCAACGGTTGCATCCACTCGCTCGGCGCGGAGACCAGAAGAAGGCTCGACAACGGACAGATAGCAGCGGCCGAGGGCGCCCCGAAATCATGAATTTCATTGGTACGCTTTCGCAGAGAGCTGAAGAAGCCTTGCAAGAGTCTTCCAGTCTTCTTGGCCCCGAACCGCAACGCTCTTTCTCGATTTTCTATTTCCGGTTGCGGATCCATTGATTTCCGCCACCTCTATCTGAACCAAAAACACTGCCACAACTACAACTACAACTCAACTCAACAACTCTTCCTCAACTCTGACACTCTTACCGAATCTTCTCTGTCCCATGTAAGTCTTTGCAAGCGAATTTCTATTTATTTCTTTACCTGACACGCGCTCGTGCGTATACGTAACCTATCCGTAAGCATATGCTGGCCCACTGCAACTGCCACTGCACTTTGCAGCGGCAGCAGCAGCAACTGGGCCGAGAAAAATCAATCGAAGTGGGGTTGCAGGCCGCGCTTATCGATTTTTAACCAACAGCAGCGGTAGCAGCAGCAGAAGGGAAAATTCAAGGTCCGAAACAGCCTCGTGCTTGGCCAAATCTAGAGCGGATTGCAGGGCGGTTGCTGCTGTTGCAGGAGGAGGGCGTCGCCTGGTCGGCACTGGAACGCCTCGGCAAAGTCGCGCGAATTCCGGAGTAGGGCATGGGTTAGTTGCCGCTTGCGTTCCTGCTGCAGGCTGCCCAAGTGGGTGCGGCAGTCCACAATCAGGCTGCCCACGAAGTAGAGCCTCTGCAGGGACATCTTGGCCCGTCCAACGGCCAGCAGTCCGTCGATCCTCTGCTGCAGAGCAACTCGCGTCGGGTTGGCCAGCCACTGTTTGTAGCAACTGAGCGCCTGCTGCTGGGCCAACAGGCCGAGGAGCAAATCGTTGGCATTCACCTGGCTGCCGGCGCACTCCTGGAACACGCTGAATTGTCGCTCCGAGTCCAGACTGCGCCAGGCTCCTGGTGTCCGCGTGCTGCTTCCGGCGGCCACCAGGCTCCTCGAGAAGTACTCGCCCAGGAGCAGGTAGTTGAGCGGCGTGCTCAGGTTCTGCCTGCCCAGCAGGGCGTTGATGATGGAGAAGACCTGAGCATACTGGCGCAGCTGCTGGGCGGACTGGGAAGGCGGTTGGCGCCGGTTCTGGAAGCGGCGCAGCTTCTCCAGGTTGCGATAGAAGCTGCGCCGTCCCAGCACTATATCGTGGTAAGCGGCGTCCAACCGTTCATCTCCGTTGAGGGTCAGGTGCATGACGTGGCCCAGGAACTGTTTCGAGCTTTGCTGCGAGATCTCGTCGATCCAGACGCTGCCGGCAAGCTGCTCCGTGTAGGCCTTGCCCAGCGCTGAGTACATCTTGGTTAGTTCCACTCGATCCGCAGTGAGGCGCTGAACGATGTGGGCGTAGACGTCGCCGGCATAGGTCTCCGCCAGCTGATGGCAGTCCGTGTCCACGATATCTGCAATAGGGAAATCGATTTAGATCAATTTTGAAAAAGAAGTATGGTAAAGGATACATTTTCTCTACTCTTCCTACTCACCCATCAGATAGTCCGTCCACATCCAGTTGAGCAGCCGGTGCATGCTGGTGTTTTGGAGCAGCAGAAAGTAGTCCACCATTCGGGGCAACTGCTTGACCACGATCGTGTCACTGGCCTGCGGCGCCTTGCCGCCCAGCAGCTTCCTGAAGTAACCGTCCCAGTTCAGTCCGCCCAGAGAGGCGTGTCCAAAGGCGCTGCGCTTGAAGTTACCATAGGTAAACTGCACCTGGTCCTCGATGTGCTCCGCCTTGACAATGTCGCGCCGACTGCGCTCTAGGCTGAGAACTTCGAGGGCAGCCACATGGGCTCGGCTCTGCTCGATCCCGAAAAGCTTGAAGACCTCGCCCACGCGCTGCTCAAACTTCCGCAGAGTATGGCGCCGCGTCAGGTCAGGCTGGAGAATGAACTGTCGCTTGTTGGACTGCATGCCAACCACTGTCTCGAAGAAATAGGGGGCCCCCATTTCATGGAAGTGGCCAAGGAGCCCCAGCCAGTTTAGGGTCTGGTTGTTCCGCTGACTGGCATTCACCCTGACTGCCTCCAAGGCCGGCCAGCCGCCACTTAGCCGGAAGAGCTGAGAACTTTTGAGGGCGTCAATGCCGCGACTGCTTTCGCAGGACTTGAAGAAGTTGACCATCTGCAGCTCCATGTCCATTAGCTGCCCGTCGTCCGCCTCTTTGAGGAAGCTCTGAAAGCGCTGCACTCCCGTCTGGGAGAGATTGGCGCTTCGCGAGCACACGTAGCCGTAGAAATCCTCACACGGTTGCTTGCTGGGGTCCAGATACTGCTCCAGTTTGTAGGAGAAGTGCAACAGGTCGTTTTCCATCCTGGCCAGACTGTCCTGACCCCAGGCATGACTTGTCACCAACAGGAGGAGCACCAATATCCTCGTCAGCATTTCGGGAAACGTATTGTTTCTCGGGCGTCTAGCGTCGAAATGATTTTAATTTTTTTCTAGCTTGAGACCTACTCAACTTGCACTTGGGAGGTCGGTGGTTCGGCAAAGGTCACTCTGCTATTTTAATACGCTGGTCCACTTCCGGCAAGCTGCACCACCTACTTTCTGCTACTGCGTCCGCTTCCAGACGGAGGCCCCAAGACACTGAACCGGCGAGGCACAATCCCAACTAATCGCGTTCCCATTAGTTTCCTCTGTCACTGGCAGTGGCACTGAAATGAAAACGACATGGGGCTGATAGTGATAGCCCCGTTCGATGGGCGATAAAGAGTCGACCCGCGGGGCGGGCTGGTAATCAAATGTGTCAAAATGTCAGGCTTTGGATGCGAGGACCGAAATCGGTCATGGCCGTGGCGTTTCTAATTAAATATTGACATGATGCGATGCGAATGCTGTGAAATAAGTTTAGACTTGGATTTCAGAGAGACAGACCTCTAGCTAACCTATTCCATTACCCTATTCCTTACGCAGGCGCTGTAGGAGGTGATGGTGGCGACGATGGCGACGACAAGGAAAAGGCAGAGGAAGAGGAGAGGGAGCGCCAGGAGGCCATTCGTGAGGCCGAAGAACGGCGCAAGGAGAAGCACAGGAAAATGGAGGAGGAGCGCGAGAAGATGAGACAGGACATTCGCGATAAGGTGAGTGGCGGTGACCTGCAGGTACATATGTATATTCGCCAAGTGAGTGCCCAAATCGAGAGTGACCCGAGCAACGCCATGTTCCTGTCGGAGTTCAAATTGACTCTAGTAGGGAGTCCTTTGTACGAGCGACTCCCTAACGGAGTCAGATTGAATTACCAAGGAGAGAGACAACAGTGAGATTCCAGAGAGTGTTAGGCGATAAGCATTAGCCAGATCATTTCCTAATCCTTCTAATCACATAATCTACCCGATCTCCCATTAGTACAACATCAAGAAGAAGGAGGAAATCGTCGAGGCGGCCCCACAGGAAGAGCCCAATCCTCTAATGAGGAAAAAGAAGACGCCGGAGGAACTCGCCGCCGAAGCGGAGCAGGAGGAGCTCGACGATTTTACAAGTAAGTTATCGCTGTCATTGATGTGATTGCTCCTAACTTTAGCGCTCAGCTACTGGCATCTATCTACTGCTAATCGACCCAACGATTGGGCGCCATTTAGAGTGTAACTGTACCAGATTTTCAGTTGGTTTCCTTTTCGTTTCCTACTACTACTTACTGCCCCCCTTAATGCAGGCAGTACTTACTAAACATATATTTTTGACTAACAACTAAAACCAAGAAACCCAAAGAAAACCGAATAAACTGCAACTAAATAATCAACGGCGCCCGAAAAAGTAGTAACTGTGTTTATGTTTGTGCATCTGTGTATTCCTCGTGTCTACGTGCCAACCAGCTCTATCCAGTCTATGCAATCTAACTTTCTCAGCAGCTAACCATCTATCTATCTACGCTATCTGTCTGTATCTGTATCTATATCTATTTCTATGCCCATGCCCTGTTTCCTGTGCGTGCAATGTGAACTAACCTCTATATGCCAACACCTAGACTAACTTTAACTTTACAGCCAACTCTAACACAAATGCTAACTCTAACTGCAACCCTGCTATCTACTATCTACTAATTCCTAACTACTATCTGATATCTGTCCAAGATCTAAACTTCAACTGTAATGCAACGATGAATATATTAACTCTGTCGAATACTCAACTACATTTATAACAAGCGTGCACTTCATTCGCTCATTTCCTTTGATTAAACCTAAGTTGGGAATAAGCCAGTGCCTCAGGGCGCTGTTGAGGGTTTCCATTTAATTTCATTAATTGTTTGCCAGTATTTTCCGTTTCCTTCCATTTTTATTTACGACTGTTTTGGGTAACAACTCCTCAATGATTATAAATTGGTGTTAGCAGACGAACTACTTGTGTACTTAGGTTCATTGTCATTCAATTAATTAGACTAAGGTAAGTGCGACTATTCGTAAAATCGTATTCGTTTTCCTTTTGTGTGGTAATCTTGTAATAAATTTGTATTCATGAACTACTCTCTACCTTCTCTCCACCACCAAAAACAAAACAACAACCATTTTCGATAACTCTCGCTCTCTTCTTTTCTCAAAAAAAAAACCCTCTTGTACCTGTAAATGTAAAGTCTGTAAAATCTGTAAAATAGTCGGTACTACAAGAGACCTTCCAACACCAGCAGCTGTACGGCTCTCACACAAGATCAAAGACATAGTAGTTATGGTGAAAAAGATAGTTCCAAAGGAGAAAAATGAATTAGGTTAGAACAGATATCAGAAGGGGGGTTTCTAGGATTACGTTTCTGAATGATTTTCCATATATGTATGTATTTTTTAATTACAAACTCACATCAAACTCACCCACTGCACCTTTATTTAAAACTAGCGCCTATGATTAACCACATGATAAAATAAACACTAGAACATAAAACTGTGCTTGTGTGCTCAACTGAAACTAATCACTCATATAATAAAGTATATATATCTGTGAACTCCTAACTAAACTACAACCAAACTAAGTATAAAATATGCGTAAATGGACGAAGAACAATTACAGAACTTTTTCCCTCTCGTTTACTCTTTCCTTTCCATGTGTGTACTATATGTATTTTACACACAATACTGAACGACGTATGTAAAATATATATATTGCACATGTACTGCATATGTATGTGTATTTCTTCAGCACCGAACTCTACATCTTTGCCATCTTGCTATCCCTTCACTCTCTACTCATGATCTACTACTAACTCTTAACTTTATCTCTAAGGCTGACTTTGACAGTGACGTTTAGTTTTACCGACTGTTAAACTGACTTTTACTACGCTAGAAGCTTATAGTACTTGTTAAAGTATGATTTTCATGATACGAATGCCATTTTTAGGACCGTGACTATTGAGTTTGCATATTTAACATTATAGTTACATTAACAGTTACATTTACAGTTACAGTTACAGTTACAGTAAAAGCTACAGTAACAGCTACAGTTACAGCTATAGTAGACAAACTACAGTACTTGAGCGTCCATAAAATACATATACATACCAGTTTACATGCCTAACATTTGTAGTCTACTCTACAAAATATGCTTATTTATTGCTGTTTCCATACTCAATTTCTTTTACAGAACTGAAAAATCAAATAGAAACGCAAGTAAATGAGCTAAAAACTCAAATAGAGGGAAAATGTGTCATGCAGTGATATGTCAGTCATCGTAAAATGAAAAATGATAACGAAAAAAACACATAATACAAAAACAAAACAAAACAATAAATAATAATACAAAATAACCAATGAAAGCAAATATTTAACTCGTCTTAAAATTGAATATCTGTTAATAAGCGATCTGTTAAGTTATATCATTGGAACAAACCATAAAAAAGCGGATAACAAACTAACTTACTGTAACCCCGCAGTAATAATTCGGAAAAAACACCTGTCGGTTCTACATAAAATTTCGTGAAGCCTATAAAACTGATAAATCCCGAGTATAATGACCCGATAATAATAAAAGGCAGATTTGCTTAATCTACATAAATGCGAACAGGACGGTGAACGTGAACTCCTAATGACTTTTAGAGTAGCTAAAGCAAAAACACGCATTATCTAACAACAAGAGAAATCAACTATAGTAAACGCCTTTAATAATATTCAAATAACTTTGCTTCGACGATAATGTAATATACTCAATTCCAATATGCTATACACAAACGTTCTTTAGTTGATAACATGCCATAAAAAAGCTAATAATAAATCAACAAAAATAACAAAGAAAAGCGAATCTATCGATGAGGTGCGAACCCAAATAGAAAACAAATAATTATAGTACGAATAACTAACACGAAAGCAAAGAAAAACCAAACAAAAAACCAAAAAAAAAAAATTAAGCGTATGGTGCGACAGAGGAGGTTGCTGATTCATGTCGAACCATCGAAGTATGTTGCTGAAATCCCTTGGACCTTAAATCCATCTAATTATATATCATTACGAGTATAGAGAGATTATGAATTCAATCGGCGAATATGTTGAAATTATCATTCCGAATATATATATATATATTTATTTGTATATATATACACCCTGTGTACATATGTACATTACGTAAATATGAGAATACACTTGCAAACCAATTGACTGCAGATACATTGAAATTATTGCTGATTTACCACTAAATGAAAAGGAATAACGCTTCAGTCAGAGTTTGCTTTTGAAAAATAATTCAAGATTCAAGACAAAACATCTTTAACAGCTGTTACATTTTGTTTCTTTCCTATACAAAAAACAACAATAACAACAACATACCCACACTACAATTGAGAATTTCAAACTCTTTGAGATAGTAACTGATCTCTCTGATTGATGCTTCTGAAATGTAAGTAAACAAGCCAACTATTTAACTTTACGAAACTATATATGTATACTACTATATGTGGGCTTCAGTTTCATTTCCCATTTATTTGAGACATTGAGTTTTTGGTTAAGTTACGGCTATTCCGTAGGGTACATGGTACAACAATATTTTAAAAATAAATATATAACTAACAGTAGTCGAAGGAAATAGCTTATAAGAAGAGACGCTAGGCAGTTCTAGAGCATAATGCTGTGATACATTTTAGCATACATTTTTCACCAATAAGCGCACACACTGGGCAAGTCCCGGGACCCAGTAACCCAGTACCCACAATCCAGACCTCAGAGAAGCTGGAACAGAACAGAACTTAAACATGCATGCAATTCGGAAAACTAAAATCAAGGCAAAACAAATGCATACAACACAAGTGTATATAAGTACTGTCCATCAAATACCCTTTACAATGCCAGGACGACCACTGGTCCTGTATCTGCATCTGAATCCGTTCGAAGTGTCCGCTTGTGAAGGGTAGGTACTCCTGTCTACATCCCGACCATTACCATACATACTCACATTTTCGCCATAAAGAGCCGTGCCACCAAAATTGTACATACATACATATACAGAGCCCGCTGCCAGGACACACTTCAAGCAATATCGTATGCATGGTTGTTCGTACATCGGAGCGAGCCGTCCCCGTTTCTATTAATCGAACCACCCCATTTCCCTTGCCTTTCCTCTACGAACGACTGACTGCAAGGCATTAGCTATTACCTACTAGGTTTCGATGAAGAGCGATCTCTATCTCAATGTTCCAGCAATGGACTTCTGTTTCGATTCGATTTGCGACGTGAACGGCTCGCTTGTGTGTGTTATCAATATAAACACACATACATACATATATACTCGTATATATAATCACTCGAATGTGCACAACAAGTAATTACTGTGCCACATATAATGCCCTCTCCCTGTTTGTGATCGTTCTGGTCTACCTTATGGCGGCAATCCGCCAATTAGCATATTAGAGACATACAAACAAGGCGTTTTGCATCTTATTTGCCTTTGTTGTTATCCTTTGAAACGGAACGGGGCTATCATCATCTGAATGAACAGTGGGAAAGGACATTTGGGCTCCGGCCAAGGCCGGATATAGAGCGATAGAAAATCACTATATATTAATCATACAAGTAAACCAATCTAACTATACATATATAAGAATAAATGTTTTAATTACACTGCATTCTATATATATATATATATCTCTCTCTTTCTTTCTCTGGTGTCTCTCTCTTTCTCTTTCTCTTCTTTTGATTTACAACACTCTCTCTCTTTTTAAAATCTTTAATCTGCGCCACCTCTCTACTCTGCCTCAAATTCTATATCTGAAAAACAACAACAACAACAACTTGAACAACATTTGCAAGAACACGAAACAACAACCAACTATTATAACAACTCCAACAACAACTCTACAAATTCTTCACAACAACAACAACGACTTGATGATCCCTCTCTCAGACATGTACTCTCGGTGTTTTTATAACTGATATAATATCATCCAGAACCAGAACAAAAGCACAAGAAACGCCTACAGCCTACAGTACAAGAACAACAACAACAACTCAACAACAACATCTACAACAGAAGTATCTAAAAATATGTATTATACGAGATGAACAACAACAACAACAATCCAAGTAAAAATAAAAACAACAACAAACTACATGCAAGAAACAGCATCCATCGCAAAGCTCTCTACCATATTTCTGAAAGTTGTGAACCCATTAACCCATAAATATACTTACACCAACATATAGAGTCACATGCATTTAAATAGCTAAATATATGGTGTTGTAAATGCTTTAAAATACAATATATGTGTACAGAACCAAATAAATACCAAAGAATACATCAGAAGTCAATAAGTTGCCAGATATATCCGTATACAGAATGATCTGTATCTAAGATTCAAGCCAGCATCATATACATTCAAAATTTTTAAAAACCACACCAACTCGCATCAAACGGTCAGTTCAAGTTGAAGCTCTTCGCTGTCTCATAATCTTCTCAGACATTTTGCTGTCTCAGTTTTTAACTCCTTCTTATGCATATCGGCAAGACAGCAATAAAGTTGTACGGCTCAACGCCTCTCTCTGTCAATCTAATAAAGCAATCCTCTAGTGCCCCCTCGCTCCATAGGAAGTTAGGAACGATTGAACTAAATGAATGAAATGAAGAATGCCTTAACGTGGCTCAGACCATACGACGACGACGCCGACGCCGACTCGACCAGTCAGTCCAATGCGTGAGCAAATTATATGATGATATGATGATAAATGATGGTGATCCTACTACCATAGGGAATGGAACTTACAATCCCTAGCTCTACTAGCTTTGTTTCCTCTACTATCGCACTCCTATTCCAGAATCGGAATCCGAATATCTCCTATAGCTAGAGCTATGGTATTTTCCAAACTCGAATCCCAAACTATCAGATCTTTACAGTAATGGCTTTCTAAATACTTATAGAGAATGTTTACCTAGATTCTACTACTATATCTATATTGCGTTTTTCTCTCAGATACTTATATGATGTTAAAGGTGACTTTGATTGTTTATAATATATTCAATAAACATTAACAAACAAACAAAAAAACAAAGGAAACCAACCAAAAACAACAACAAAAAACTTGAAATATATTCTTCAATCATAACCGAGTTTTTAACGTAATCATAAATGTTCAAAATGTTAAATGGTTCAGCCGATGTTATTTTTATTTGAAATCTGTTAATATTGTGTTATCGTTAATATTATAGTTATGATAATGTAATTATATGTATATCAGAAAGTTCACAAGAAACCACAGATAATTACACAATATTATCTATATGTATATGTATATGTGTAACTTAATAGGGAAATGAATTTAAAGAGAAACAACAGACAAAATTTATAATGAATAATGTTGAAAAGAATACCATTCAAGTCATTATTAGATGTGAAAGACGTTCTATACACACCAGAAGAATAAACCAAAAAAAAAAAAAAAAAAAAAAACAAAAACAAAAACAAAAAACTTAAGACAAGCGTTAATAGTTGATTAATTATATTGTTACTTTGAACATTTAATTAAAAACAAACAAATGAAGGTGTAATAAAATGAAATATATATATGTATAAATATATATGAGAAAACACAACAATACATTTGGTTTTACTTCCCAGCCATGGCCATGCCCATGGCCAGGCCCTCATCTCCAGGCGTTAGCATTACTTGTTACCCCACCACACACCCCGAATATATATACATCGCCCCAGATATACACTCGACTCTCTCTCTCTCTCTGTCCTCTACCTGCCTGATTTATCTGATATAGCGAACTTGATTTGGCATGACTGTTAGACTATGTTTTTATTCTATGTGTACGTACCTCTCTTTCCGTCTATACATGTATCTCTCTGTCTGTCCACCTACTATGTATGTGTCTACCTCTGCCCCTCCATGAGCCAGAACAATCCATCCACCCAGACTACATGTACATCCATGAGTTTCTAAATGCCAAAACTGCATACCTACTCAGTACTAAGTGTATATCAAAGGGTCGAGGTGATGCTGTCTATTGTTGTCTCTTCTGCAAGATCTATCTACATTTGTAAAGACCCAGTAAAAAATAACAGATTCCGACAGCTTCGAGTAAGGCGAAGGTGAGTTTCCCAAGTAAAATCGGAAACTTCTACGGGTTAGGCATCAAAGGAGTGTAAGTACTTGCATTCTTATTAAGTCAAACTTAGATTTTTCCCAGGCTAACCTTTTCCTTTGAGTACTGCATCATCCCAAAAGGTAGGTAATAGCGTTGCTTGTCTATTTCGTGCCCACACACCACCGCCACATCCACATCCAGAAACCACATCGATATGCACGCACATCCACCACCAGTTCTACATCCCAAAAGACGACCAAGTTTAAGACCAAGGCGAATTGAAGCAAAAAAAAGGATTCCATTAGGGAATATATATTGTATTCTTTGCTTAATCACTCAGAGGGAAAAAAAAAACAAATCAAACTCAAAATAAAAAACAACCTTTCATTTCTATATATTTTTTCTACCCTTCTGTTCTTCCTTTTTATGCAGTTTAACAGTCCATTTCGTAGGCAGTTTTTCTAAGTTATTATTCAAGCCTTACTTACACTTGGTTTTCGTGCAAATTAACTGATTTCGTCTTGTTTGTATTTTCAGCCAAATTGAAAAAACGTCTTAGTGATGCTTTTAAAAATTGCCCATTGAGAAACTTGTTCTGAGCCACAGAACTGTTAGTTCTCTCTCAAAGATAAGAGTCCAAGCGGCGATTCGGTTTCGGTTTCAGATAACACAAAATAAATACCGACTTGTTTTCGGTCTTCAACGTGCATTATTGCCTGCCAGCTCCTGCTCCAACCAAGACATACCCTTGGCGGCTATAGCTATACTAACTAGTGTGCAAACTAGGTTTGCATCAAACGATTCCTAGATCCAGACAGGACACACGCACTTACACATTATACCCAATGATTAGCCCTATTGCCTATACATATATTATATTGTAACAACCCAACTGTACGACGATTTTACCGGGTCCCCCTCTTTGAGAAAGTCGTAGACGAGCCCAAGAAGCGACGAGCAGCCGCATTTTAGTATTTAGCACGTTTGCAAAATGTTGGATATTTGAGTAGTGAAGGTAGACGACACCTTAGACATTTAAGTTGAGCCCTAAGCAACGCACACGGATGCCAATGCCGAGATGCCGATGCAGTGAAGCAGTTAGTTCCTTTGTACGCGAAACGAAAGGCGGAAGGACCCTCTTAGTTTGCATTAGAAGATAGCAGGATAGCGTTTGCTGACGACTAGAAGGAATCATTATTGAAACCAAATGTGAAATCAGAAATGAATCAACAACGACACTAGTTTAAATCGAATTAGAATAGCAAATTCGCCGCATACCAATATGTCTTTCAACGGTGTGCCCCTCGGAGGGTACTCGTACTCTTTCAGAATATTTACGGACGCGTAAACGTAGTAGATGATGGCTCAAAATGTTTTTGTTGTTTGCCAAAATAATTCGTAAGATTTTCAAAGTACCTGAGAAATTCCACTGACCCTGCTGGAAGTATTAGGTTAAGATTCTTCAGATTACATATATCACGCATTGCTGAGTGCAGACGACTTCTGATATACTTACAACAATAGTGACATCTGCATGTTTCCTCCATATATTTCGCGTTTTCTTGAGAATAACTACTACCTACTACCCTACCCTACATACAGATATTTCCGGAAGAGTAAACTCTAGGTTTATCGGCCTGCCGATGCGATAATATCTTTTCCAATGCTGCTTGCTCGAAGCAATTTAAACTAATTGTAGGTCCCAAGCCTCATTGAACGACAACTTGCATTTCTTTCAAAGATTGGAAGCTTGGAAAAGATAGAACACGTTTTTACGTCAATCATTTAAAGTATAACAATCATATCTAAACCTAAAGGATTTCGTGTCTTAATTTTAAATATTACATGATTTTACAATTACAACTGAGGATAAAATTAAGATGATACTTCGAAAAAGAAAGGCAAAAGCAAAAACAAAAAAAAAACAAAGAGATAAAAAACGAAAACAAAAGTAATTTTAGCCTAAGTATATATAATTTACATACCAACATGACCGACTGAAATTATTGTTAAAAGTTTTATGAACTATACTTGCATATATACATATATTGATATGATCAAGTAAAATAATAAATAAAGAAATATATATACAAGAAATTCATGATAATATATTAAAGTTTCTATACCCCTAATCAATCATAAATTTGCGATCCAGTATATACATGCGAACCTAACTATAAAAAATAAAAATATAGAGGATGAAATCAAATTTTAAAGATGCCGCAAAGTCAAGTTAGTTATCTAGGATCATATACAAGTAAATGCGAATTCGATACAATAGTTTTGACATATGTACTAAGCATCGTCACAATATTTACACGTCTATATCATTGACAACTGCTCTCGCCTGGTCCTAATCCTGGTCCCATCCGATCCGATTCCGATCCGATTCGGCTACAAGTGTGAAAATCAAAATCAACAAGACTATTTTCAACCAAAAGCTATACAGTATATGGAACCCTTGCGCCAAGCTAGAGTATGAGTTGTCACCAAATCGAAATCATTAAACACCCTTACGTAAGCCGAAAGCGAATAAATAATAGTTACCAATCTAGAAATTTATCGGAGTTCAATTTAGCATTCTCGCATTTCGAAAGCTACGTACATATTTCGGGAAAGTAACCTAACGAATGCCTCTGTTACTTTCGAGCGAATATATAACTTACAAATATACCAAAGTTCTTGTACATGAATAAAAGGATATTCGCCGAGGCCAGTGCAAGTGCGAGTATAGAATTGCCGTAGCGATTACCAGAGTATTGTACGACTTCTATACCGAATCGAATTGTATTGTATTGCATTGTAATATGTTGTATTGTATTTACTGTTGGATTGTATTTTAATATAGAAAGAGTTAATTTCCAATAAAGAGTTTTTAAATGCATTATGAAAACAGCTCAGAGTGAGCCCTTTTATTTCTTTATTGCTTGGATGATGGCCTCACGCATTTCAACTGAATTCTTAACATAGCCACCGCCTTTGCACCCACGCAAATCATTCTATGCACAAATACACTACAAAAATAGGGTTCTAGTGTATATTTTATAAAGCAAAAGCTAGGGCAAGGCCTAAGTCACAATATCAGAAGAACAAAATCACATCGAGTATGAGTATTTTATGTGTTATTCATGTGAGTATGTTAGATCTTTTTAATTTTGTAATTTTGGTTACTATTTCCGACGAAAATAGGATCATATATTATATTTATATTATACTTAGCGAGCGGAAACTATACTCGACAATGTTCAGATTTTTTTAGTGCCTCTAAAAACCTGACATTTCTCTCTAAAACTTTAAAGTTTATTTTTTAATTCAATATTTATATAAGAATCAAACACATACAGAACCCTTTAAAACAAATATATTTTTTTACTTTAAAATTATTATTAATTTATTTTGTTTTTCAAAATAAAACAAGCTTCTCGTTAAAGTATTTAGGCATCACAATTTTTCTATTTTTCTTCCGGTGTACTCCATTGTATGACGCCTCTATTGGAATTTGGTAAAACTCTTCCTCAACATTTTACGCCGCTGTCGTGTTGCGAGCCCGCATTGTTTAGACATAAAATTCCAAAGTGTTTGGAATTCAGAGACTTCTCTGGCCCCTGATGACTATGCCAGGTCCTGCTGCCATTCAGTTCACAAGGACCGCCAGTGTAGGCGCCGGCAGTCATCATATCAATAGAACCCAAAGATGGGAATGGGAATGGTAATGGGGATGCTGTTAGCGTTGGTGTTGGTGGGTTGGGAGACGAGAAAACTTTCTTGGCAAATCAATACGGGAGAGTGTGCTCGCCTGCGATTCCCGTCGGACATATCTCGCTTAATTAAAAAAGTTCCCCGCTGTTTCGGAACAATTGATTCCAAACTGAACATCGTTGACATTCTATCGCATCCATCTCACTAAATGCTCTCTGCCTAGGAATTAACATGATCACACGGACCAGTGATTATAGCCCCATATGACCTAAAAGGTCGAGCGTTTCTCAGGCGGGCAGCATTAAATCAGCCGAAGAAACTTATAAATAATGCAGCAAAGGGTTTTAATTATACAAACCCATCGGACGGACTCGGACCTTGGGACCCCACAACGCAACGGCCGAGCACTTTGCGGCCAGCCAAGTGTGAAGTACCGTGTTTATTAGCCCAAAACAAAGCAGCATCTCACCAGGAGTACGGCCCACTCACAGCCTCACAGCCTGCTGCTTCCCACAATTTCCAATTTAATTTAAGAGGAGTTGCCAGGATGGCCATCCGGAGGCCAGGCTTTCCCCAGATAAGTCGGAGGTAAACCTAATGAAATGCATTGTCAAATGAAATGGTAAAATTGACGACGTCCACTTTTTCCTGAAGTGGGCATTGACATTAAATCAGCAAACTAACTGCCACTAAACAAACAGAAGCACACGCACCCATCCCCTGCCCACAGGAAGTAGCTGCCTCTCCACTTGGAAGGCAGGCTTGCCCGCCCATTCGCACTCTGCTCTCTCGATCTGAACTTAAAAGCACTTGTAACAAATTGAAATCATCTATCTTTTTGCATTCATTTGCACCCTTGCCATATCCACGCACACACACTCCATGGCACAGCAATTTTCAATTCACCTCACACACTTTAAGAGGCTCATTTCGAAGGGTTTCCCGAGCTACCAGTCCAACGCAGTAAGTGTTTAAGTTAATCTTTTACAAATAAATGATTAAGTCGAGGAATTTGTGGAGTTTTTATTGAAATATTAAATATATACTTGGTTATTACTAAGCAAGTAGTTACTATTGTATACAGTTTGATACCTTATTTTTGAACAATTCAGTTTTTTTTCTACAATTTTTAAAGTTTTTAAGCTGTTAAAAGCTATAAGATAACCTGGTGATGTCATGGATAAATCATTTTTTAATTTAATTTGTGTTAATTTTCTAAACTTTTGTAAAACATAATACAACTCTTATGCAATTTAAAAGAATATTAAAAAGGTATAATATTTTATAGTATCCCAAATATTAACAAACTTCTTTAAATGTGTCTCTTTGTACTAAATATTTAATGCTTATTACGTATTAATTGTAACGTCTTAAAAACAAAACAAACGCTTTTGTTTATAATCTGGTTCTCCGGCAAGTTAGTTGTATGGCAACGGGTATTTACCATAAAGTACATGTGACGCACTCTCTCAACCGACTTGTCGGCTGCAGCATCAACAGGCAGACGCTCTTTAAATATATACATATGTACATATGTAGGTACCTACATATTTAGTTATTAAAACGAGCCAAGACCAGTCATCCTGAAGTGCAACAGAGGAATAAAATCATCGCACTTTCAAGTGGCGGCTGCCTGATGATGAGGCAGTCGCCAGAGAGGCAGCGCAGCAAAGGAGAAACTTCTCACAAGCAGAGCTCGATTACCTCGATGCGGGCTTAAGCCAGAACCTGACCCAAAACCAGACCCTGAGATACACTCAGACTGGGGCCGGCCCAGACCGGACTTGGGCAATCACAGCTCGCCGAGAGAGCTACGCTGATAAGCTCAACCTCGGAACCAGAATTAGAATCAGAATCGCTCGGTGGCTATTCCGCTCACCAGCTCTCAGCCAGCTAGTCAGTGTGTTTCCAGCTGGCGAAGATAGGCGCTCGGACAGTCGGTTCATTCAGATTCGGACGGTTTCATTTTCTCATAGGATAGTTATCGCCATGGATCCACATATTCTTTGGGGCATTCTGATGATGCTCTTGGTTGGGGCAAGCCACACATACGCACAAGGCAAGTCGTTGACTGGGTTTGTTTACGTCCAAATGAAGGAACAAAAGCCACAGAAGTAATAGCCGCCTATCAGGGCTGAACTTGACCCCGAGTCAAGTCGAGCTGTGGCTCAGCGGGGGGCATTCCCGTTCCCGTTGGTGAACACATCTTGTCATTTCTATTGGGTTTATCTATGTTATATTCAACAGAAATCTATGGGTATTGCACAACGCCCGATAATAACAGTGGGACCTGCATCAAACTCCCGGAATGCGGATATCTTTACCAAATTGTGCAACGCGGCTCGGTTTCAAGGGAAAACCGTGACTTCCTGGCAAACAGTCAGTGTGGTTACCGCAACGGGAATGTGCTCGTAAGTAAGACTAGGATTAAGTTTAACTACTAAACAAGAATGGTTTTTAAATAAATTTTTATTTACCATATTGTAGATTTGCTGTGCAAACAATCGTCTGAGACCCCAGCCGTCGCCACGTCCAAAGCCCACCGTTGCAACTACTCCGCCAAGACGTTCCGGACTGCTTCCCCAAGCACCCAATTGCGGGGATAATTTCGGAAATCGCGTGGTTGGCGGCGTGGAAACGGGCAAGCGGGAGTTCCCCTGGATGGCACTGATCGAATACACGAAGCGTAAGTCGCTCTGATTTGGTCTGACGATCTTATACTTCAGGAACCCTTCTCTTCTCCGCCATCTTCAGCTGGCAATGTCAAGGGACACCACTGCGGCGGATCGCTGATCAACAATCGGTACGTGCTAACGGCGGCCCACTGCGTCTCCGCCATACCCAGTGACTGGCAGCTGACAGGCGTGCGTCTGGGCGATTGGGACACCACCACCAACCCGGACTGTACGACGGAAAAGAACGGCCAGCAGGACTGCAACGATCCCTACGTAGACAACCCAGTGGTGGAGCGGATACCACACCCTCAATACCCGGGCAATGCCAGGGACCAGCTAAACGACATTGCTTTGCTGCGGCTGCGTGATGAGGTCAAGTTCAGTGACTTCATTTCGCCAGTATGCCTGCCCAGCCTGGCATCCCAACGCGACGATATTTTCCTGGGCCGCAAAGTAGTGGTGGCCGGATGGGGTCGCACTGAAAACAGCTTCACGGCCAACATAAAGCTTAAAGCCGAACTGGATCCTGTTCCGTTGAGGGACTGCAACGAGAGGTACTCCAGCCAAAGGCGCACTGTTACCTCCAACCAAATGTGCGCTGGCGGCGTTGAGGGCGTCGACTCTTGCCGCGGCGACTCCGGAGGCCCACTGCTGCTGGAGGACTACCATGAGGGCTATGCAAACTACTACATTGCCGGTGTGGTCTCATACGGACCGACACCCTGCGGCCTCAAGGGCTGGCCGGGCGTGTACACACGAGTAGCGGCCTACCTCGATTTCATAGAGAGCAATGTTCGGGCCTAAGCTGCAGATTTCCTGGTATCGCATCCAAGAAAGAGACGACGCGGCACTTGGATTATATCGTTTTTAAAATACAAGTTAAATTATACAATAAATAAATTTAAATTGTGTAGACTAAAAGCGTGCAGCTCATCACAATTTGAACCGAGCAACTGTACACTTAAAAGGTAAATTTAAATGTTACTTCTTTAAGGTGATTTTGGTTTCTGCAATTCAAATCTTTGAATTTTGGAAAGGGCCGGCCACTAGCTTCCTATATCGAATCCAAATGCAGCCTTTATAACATTTTGCCTAAGAGCGCAGGGAGGCCAGTCGGCTCTGCATCTCTTGCAGCTCCTCGCCATCGTCGTCGTCGTCCTCCGCCACCGGGACCTCAACCCGAGCAGGCGCGGCCGCCTTGTCGGCGGGTGTAGCGGGAGTAGCCTCTGGGGGTAGGGGAGCCTCGCCCAACTTGCCATCCGTTATCTCCCACAGAACCTTGTCCACCTCCTTGGCCGCCTCCTCCTCTAGCTCCTCGGACTCCTCTAGCGAGTCCATGGTCTCGTCCAGCATCTCCTCGATGATGCCCGCCTTCATCATCTCCTTGGACATGTCGCGCATTATGCCCGCCAGCTCGGGATACCGAACCAGGCTCTGCATGGCCTGCATTACCTCAGTGGACTTTTGCAGGGATCCAGCAACACGCAAGGTAGCTGCAAAGAGTGATTGTTAGGTGAAAAGAATCATTCCCTGGATTTTTTACTAACCCAGCTGATTCTTCATCTGCATCTGCACGGAGTTGAGGTGGGCCTTCGACGTGTAAATGCGATTAATGGCCTTTCGCGCGTTCACGATCTCCTTGGCCAGGATGATGCAGGTATCACGGTCATTTTTCTGTGCCGCCTGCTTAAGGGAGCGCTTCACCTTGTCCTCCTCGCGTTGTATGCTCCGAATCTGGCGGTCCAGCTGGTTGCCCTCCTTTCGGATCTTGTGCGTCCACTCTTGCACCTAAACGAACCCACCAGAAATCGCAGAAAACAGTCAGAATTAAAGTGAAAACGAGAAACTGGAACATGACATCATTCCTGGAGAATCTAAGCGAGGTCATTGCTGTGGTGTGCCGTTTTACCTGTTCCTTGGGATCTTTGCTGGGGGTTTTACCGAATAAGCCCATTGCACACTGTTCGGGAGCGAGTCGAGAGCCGCTTTACTTATTGTATTTTTATTTTTTACTTTACTTTGTTTATTATTATTTTGTCCAAGTGAGTCATCGATATCGATAGGCCGATAAGTCATTTGAAAAAATACTAGGACATACTAGGTAAATCCGGCAGCCGGTCACACCGAAATGATTTTAAAACCTCAATGCCCGCCTCACGCGTTTCCCTAATTTCCATATTAAAACCCTAGGAAATTATAGGAATGCGAAAAAACTCGAATTTTGTGGGAAATCGTTGGGAAAACCCTATGAAAAACCTCAACAGGGAAAATTCACACTCGCTAACCTGTGCTGCCAGACCTGCCCACTTATCGATACCCAAATACCGATACCAAAAATGGCGTCGTCCATTCGCTGATTTTTTGTTGTTGCCCCTGGAGAGAAAATGCAGCAAATCTTACCTCAAAATATAGAAATCGTGTGAAATGTGAGATTAATAAAACCGAGACGCAAGGCATGAGAAGTAAACACCGCGGACGCAGGAATTGACACCGACTTGCTGCACCGACGGAGCCATGGCTGCAGCGGCGGCGACTGCACCTGCCACTTCCAACGGGAGTTCTGCACCTGCAGCACCTGCAGCTAACCCAGGAGGGGGGGCGGCTGGTGGTGCCCAGTTCCGGGAAATACACAAGAATACATGGCTGAAGAGGCTTACGGCGGATGGCAAGCGTTTGACTGTGGGCCCCAAGGTAAGGCTACTTTCCAATATTTAGATGATTTTAAATACTAAAACCGCGACTCTTGCAGAAATCAGAGTGCACCTGGGTGGTGTTCTGCGTTCACGACGACACCGATGCTTTGCTGGAGGGCTACGCCGAACCCCGTCAGGCAGCTGGACACCTGCCCGAATGGTCGGTGTCGCTGCGGGAGGCGCTACACATATCGCACGCCCTCATCCCCAATTCGCACGAGTTCGAGTTTGTGGTCACGCTCAGCAACGAGGTGTTACGATTCCACGCCGTCTCTTGGTAAGCAGCTCGCCACGCCAATTAGGAGGTTGCACAAGCCGAGGCGTCAATTCACTTTTGCTTTTTGTTGTTCCAGGGAGATTATGCAAGAATGGGTGGAAACGCTGCGCTCCAAGTTGCGCGAAATGAAGATTCTGTCGCCGCGCGAAAACCTCTACACCAAGTTACCTGAAGTGCGTGCCCCGCTGCTTCCCACACGGGATCCCACATCGCCGCTGCCGCCCCCGCCGCCAGTACCGGCGGCTCTCGTTCCCGGAATTGAGCGTGTGGTGGCCGCCAGTCATCACCAGCCGCAACAGACTCTGCCGGATCCGCCCTCCAGTCCTGCTATTGTTCTACCCACTGCCCCTGCTCCAACTGCCATGTCCAACACCCTTACCCAGCACCTGCTCAATATGCTCTCCGATCCCATTAGCACCTACAGCGAGCAGATAAGCGAGTCCTCAGCCGCGGCAGAGGAAGATGCGGCTGCAGGAGGAGAAGCGACTACTGGGGAGGCAGCCCCTACTACCAGTGATACGGATCTGAACCTGTCCGACGATGAGTTTCTATCGCCCCTGTTGCGCAAGGCTTGTGTGCTCACGGAGAACGGAGTCCGCGTGGATGTGTCGGCCGCCACAGCACAGCGTGCTTCTGCTGGTAAGCATCAGAGTTTTACGGTTCATTACACATAAATAAAATATAAATTATACATTTCAGATCAAATCCTCAATCTGGAGCACATGCTGCAATGCGAACGACTAATTCCCAGGTAAGTCAGCATCTTTCTTTTGCGGCAACATCTCGGCCATTTCCTCGTTACTCAGCTGCAGGAACTCGAGGGCTGCCTGCTTTGTGCTGGCCTTGCCCTTGAATGTGGCTATAAAAACTTTTCTCAGCACCATCAGATTCCGCATAGCATTAAGAATTATCTCCCTTTCCTCCGCGTCCAGCTTCATATCGACCACATTCTTGTACCTTTTGCTAGCCTTCGCCCTAAGCTTATCATACTTTTGGTTGGCCAGCTCCAGCAGTGAAGCGCGCTGCTCTCGCTGGTAGTAATCGACGTGGGCTTGAAACAGGTCCTTGAATTGTCCACCCAAGAGCTTCGTCTGCTCAACGTCTGATTCGTCATAACAAAGCACATTGTAAAATGTAATGAATAACTCGGCTGGATCGTGTCCGGTGCATAGGAGCTTCAGGGCTTTAATTGAAGAGCAGGCGAACTTGCGCTTCAGGTAGCAGTGCTCCCTGTCCAGCATGACAATTTGCTCGATTTGTAATTGCTTTGCCTTCTCCAAATGCTCAAGTTGGGCCTGTAGTTTCTCGCTCTGAAGCTGAAGCGCGTGCAACTTTCGATTCAAAGCCTTGTTTGAATCAATCAATTCCTTTAAGTTTCTGTCGCAGGGACTGTGCGAATTCAACTCGGAAGACAAGCTAAAGTCTTCTACTACTTTCTCCTCCAAGTTTGCGCTCTTTTCCATACCCAAGCTTATCTGATGGAGAGTACGCAAATCCATTTGCATACTCTCAGGGTCTGTGAATGGGTAACCCAGTGTGCTTCGATCATTCAGTTGCTTGTGCAGAAGCAGCAGCATGGAGTTCCGCGCAAAAAGCTCTTTGGCTTTTGACCGCTGAAATATCTTTAGCCAAGTAACGCATATAGGCATGACCTGGTCTTTGGTGGGCAGCCTAGACACTAGCTTGACTACGCTGGTCACCTCCTGAACGAATAGCTCGTCCAACTTCTCCTCGGACAATGAGAAACTTTTGGCCATGTCTCATGAATATCATGACAAATGTTAAGAATTCTGGTAGTATAAAATACTGTACCTATATTTGACGTAAAAGACCAATATATATTTGATATTTTAACGTTTTGAAATGTCGATACAAAATGTTTGAAATATTCTTCTTAGAAGTTGAAAAAATACTGATTTTGGGCACTTTTGAGGTGCTTTTTCGAAATGATTACGTTACGTTATTAAAAAGTACTTCTCCTCCACTTCAAAAACAGCGTTTGATCTTCGATATATATAGAGATATATATATTTATTCATCAAAAGACGATGCCTTTAGGATTTTTTTAGGAAAAATAAAACGTATGTACACCACCGAAAAAACGTTTATTTTAAACTTTAAAATGAAAATATTTTGAAAACCTTTTAAAATTATAAATTAATTATAAACATTTTTGTGAAATTACTCTCGATATCAAACCCTAGCCCCTATATTTTCTATACATGTCTCTCCATTTCTTTTCAGGCCCCAAACATCTCGATCCATGTCCGCAGGTGCGGCTGACAAATCAAAGAGACCACAACCACACAAGCCACTGTGCTTCCAATCATCGAGTGCGGCTGCCGTCGCCGCTGCGAACAGCTCAGAGGAGCCTCAGGACAACAACATAACGATCATTCAGGTGTCAAACCCCAGCAGTAGTGGCCTGGAACAGCCGCCCGAACTTCCGCCCAAGAATGCCTCTTCAGCCGACGTGTTTAGCTTTCCCGAAGCGAAGGGGGGATCCAGGTCTAAGGGAAACACCAAGCAACAGCAGCCATCACAGCCACAGGAATACAAAAGCAATGTACAAATCATTCCGTCCAATGCCAGTAGCAGTACCATACAAGTCTTGGGCCAGCAGATACCCAGCAGCAGCAGCAATAATGCCGGCGCAAACGATTCAAGTTCGCAGATTTCCAGCACCACCACCAAGGTGAAGGTGCTGACTGGAGAGTTGGGTGAAGGCACCACAGTGGCGGTGTACGGCACCTGCTATCCGCCGCCCAGTGCTGCTGCCTGCTCCTCTTCCTCCGCTGTGATCTCTGCCACATCGCAGGGCCCAAAAATAGGTAAAAAGATAATACTCAGCGCCGACACCTCAGGCATTACGAATATCAGCGTGAATAGCGAGCAGAGCAGTGACTCCGTCATCAGTGGCAACGTGCACTATGAGAAGGTATTCCTCTCCTCCAGCATACCCATTAGTAGCAGCAGCCCCGTTAGAGGGATAAGCAGTGATTCCATACAGCTTGTGGCTAATGGAAGCCGGAGCCCGGCATTGGCGCGTCGCCAGTTGGCTGCTACACCCGCGGCACCTGCTCAGCAAATGACACCTGTCAGGCCAACCCCGCGGTTGACCCGAGGTCTTACCGAACTGGTGATAAGCTCGCGGCCCAGCCGAAGGGATTTACACTATTTGAAACAGCTCAACACTCCTTTAAGAACAAGCAAAATATCGACTCATAAATCTACAAGCGCCACGAACAACAACATTGAGCAGCAGCCACAGAATCAGTCCACGCCCTCGAGCTCCACTCAATCCCCGCAGGTAAGAAGCCTCTGCACCACAATGAACGAGGACTTCAAGCAGCGCCGGCGCAGCTCGTCCACATCGGATGCACAGGGACCTCTGCAGCGGATGCCACAAGCGCAAGGAACTCAGCGAAATGCGAATAACAATGAGTTTACTCCCTCCCGAAACGGAGGCGTCTTTCGCATGCAGCCACCGCCACAGGGCACACCATCATCCAATCCAAGCTCCACCCAGGCGCAGCAGCAGTCGCCTAATAAGCGATTTACGCTGAGAGAGCAGCAGGTAATGCAGTTGCGTCGGGAAATCATACATCCGGGCGGTGTGCGCTTGAACCTGAGGCGTAAGGATTGCGTCGGCTCTATTGCTTGGGTGGATGCCTTCGGAGGCGTTTGGTAAGTCTTGCAAGTAATCTTGAAAGGTATTTAGTCTGATCTTGAGTTTATGCTTTACAGGATTGCTGGCTGGAAGCAGAAGGAGCATCCGGTGCTGTACAATGCCTTGCACATTGGCGATCAGCTGCTGTCCATAGCAGGCGTTAGCATCAGCAGTGCGGTGGAGGCCAATAAGATAATCAGGAACTCCAACACGCTCTTTGTAAGCTGCCGATAAATTTATACTCTTTATTTATATATTTATTAATATATTTATATAATATATTCCATAGGTTGAGGTGCTGCTGCGTCGCATTCCATTTGGTCGGGCCTATGCCATCCGACGTGATCGAGAGGGCCAATGCTTGGGCCTGATTAGAGATGGAAATACTTCAACCATTGTGGATGTGGTACCCAACAGCTTGGCCGCACGCCACGGCCTGCCGCCCAAGGTGGGTTATCTGTTTAGTTTTTCCACTCATTTAATACTAATATATATCGATTTCAGGCGCAGTCCTGCGACGGCAGTTCTCTAACCTTCTGGATCCTCACCGAGATCAATGGCCGTCCTTTGAATCTCTTCTTCAAGGACCTGGAGATACGGGATCGATTGAACTCAGTGGGCAGGGATATATCCATACTGGTGCAGCCTTCAGATTTGATAGCCAAGCTGAAGAAGCAGCTAAAGTCGCTGCGCGGCTACAAGGACTACTTGGTGCAGTAGCAACTTTCCAGATCGAATTATCGCAATAATCTCAACCAATAACTCGTAACTGTAATATGCTCGTATAGCTCTGGGCCAGTAATCATTCCATTCCCGTATATATGTACGTCAATGATAGTCAACTATATATACACACACACACACACCACTTACTAGGATCATCGAAACTACTTAATGGATGTAACGTAGGTGTAGTTGAGGAGAAGCATATACAAAATCAACCTATACATATATAAAAATATATATTTTTGCAAACTTTTATATAAACTCATATTCATATATATACAAATTGAATATAGATATATATACACCATAGTTGAATAGCTGACACTTTGGAACGTCACTAATCTGAAACTCTGAATTTGGATGCGAAAAGATAATGCAAAATTTGTATTTTAGTTTTAAATTACACACATCAACTCACACACACACATGTGCAACTTAGTATCCTTATGCAATATTGGAGTGCCTCTAATTTTGTTTCATGAATGTTTTGTTTTCTTTAGTATATTTTCAATTGTTTTTCGTGTAAAGAAAAAGGACAAAACAAAAACATCTATATTGTAACATTTAAGATGTGATAGAAATGAGTAATTTAGGCAATTTTTAACGGTACATTTTGTAAATGCTGGTATATTTTCTATATGTATATATTTAAGTTTCAGTTGGTAAATTCGAATATACAAAATGCATATATATTATTACTTATTTAACAACCTTGTGAAAGAAACATTCATTAAAGCAATTCCAAACACACAAAAAATCACTCGCAAACTGTTCCCCTCTTGGCCCTCGATGCCCTCTGCTTCCAGATCCGGAAATTGTACACATCCGTGTCCAGTGTGGAGTAAATGAAGATGGGCATCGAGTTCGACATGACCCAAATGGTGCCATCTTCGTCGATCTAAAAAGAAAATAAACAGTTGGCACCATTAATTTGTAGGCATTATTTCAAGACTATTTCTTAATAATATTGCGGATAGATATTGATAGTTTTTTGCTCACCGACAAGTCGCTGGGATAAATCATGTCCCTGGCATTGGAATCTACTGTTCCATGGCTTTCCGCCGAGAACGGTTTGTGCGTGTTCCAGCAGCCAACGCCGTTCTTCTGAATTTCGGCAAAGAAGATCACACCTGTCTTTGGATCGTACTCGTGCATGGTGGACTGAGTGGATGGACCGCGGCTGCCAAGGACACGGAAATCGTTGCCGTGATCGGAGCGAGCCGCATTCGACCGCTCCTTGAGAACCGTATTAGAGACCACAAACTCATTTGTGCTGGCCATTGGATGAAAGTAGACACTCCGACTGCCATCCGGTTGTTGGGGTCCCAAAGTGGTTGAGAAGATGCCATCATCCCAGCGGAAGGTCTGCCCGCCAATGTTCAAATCACCAGCCAGCGGGTCAAAGTTAAAGTAATTATGCTCGAAAGCCCAGATTTGATCGTCCCGCAGGTGATAGACATAGAGTCGGCGATAAACCAGGTCCGGAATATAAGCATAAGCATTGCCGCACTCTCCCGGCTGTACATCAATGGTAATGCTGGCCAGGCCGCGACCAGTCTCCGCAATGCTTTCGGGTATATCGAAGCGCTTGACCACCCGGTCGGTGGCCAGATCGACGATCCAGATGCTGGGGCGCCGAATCTGTTGGCGGTTATCTAAGGGAATATATTTTTTTTCAAAATGAAAGGTACTCAAAATGAAAGGTAAAACTTACTCGGATATTCAAGCATTCCAGTGTCGATGAACCATAGACGCTGGCAGGCATCCACTGTGGTTCGATAGACGGAAACCAGATTTTCCGCGCTCTCGTTGAACTGATTCAGCGCAAAATTGGGATAGGCCATCAGCTTGGGACTGCGATCGCGACTTTCCCTGGACAGATCAATGTAGTTTAAGGTGGACGGAATGCCAACTCTTCGCCGGGGCATGGTGACGAAGAGGCGACCCCGAAAATGGGTAACACCCATGGGCACATTATTGTACGGAATGTAGGGGGCATTAGCATTATCATTGCCGGTGTTGACTCGGGAATGAATGCCCACTGGAGAATCACGAGAGGTCAGGCTTTCACGCTTTGAACGAGAATATCTTCCAGGAAAGACAACCGGAGCTGGTCAATAAAATTATTACTATTACCAAGAGTGTTAAATTATTAAGTATTATAATTAATTATACAATTAATAAATTGTATAAAGTATTTCAGCCAATATTGTTAAAACAATTAGTGTACTCGTAAATTATAGACATATTTTGAGACACCATTTAGTCTATTTAAGGTAAGCTTAAATTATACGATTTTGTGCTCGTTTTGATCATGATAACCGCTTTATTCAGATAATCCATTGATTGAATAGATGCTTGAATAAGATTCATAATTTAGATTTACGGGTCACTGCTTTCTAAAAAGTAATAGTGTCACAACAATCCCCCTTGTTAGGGTATAATACTTTCACATGCCTGTGAGAAAACCAATCAAAAATTATATCGTTTTTGTTCTCACGTTTTCTCATTTAATATAAGTACATATATAATAAGCAATGCTTATTAAGCATATACCCAAGTATGATGTAATTGCATTTTATTACTTACCCGATACGCTGGGTCTGTCTGGTCTACTGCCGCCCAAGCTGAAGTGACCATCCCCACGATTATAAAAGTCCATCTGCTTCCATCTAAACACTTCTATGAGGGGATCGCCTTTTGCAAAGCATAACAGTAGTAATAGCCCTGAGATTACGCCTAGGAGGGCATTTTTCGGTGATAACATTTTCGTTGTGATTATAGCGTTGAAATCCCGGGATCTGAATAAAGCTCAGCTGGTTAGCCTTGCCAGGCTGAGGTTTCAATAGCGACTGAGTATTCAGTGTTTTGTTCGATTTTAAGCTAAATTCTACATGCTCTGCGGACTTTAAGTTCAGTATGAAAATTGATAAGAGAAGTGTGATTCTCTCCTAACTCTCTAACCGGTTTTACGCCCTGATAGTCTAATACAACAGATCGGCGAAATGAAAAGGCAAGCCCAGATAAAGGCTTAAAAAAAACAACATAATTTCTTAGATTAAGAAAACATTTTAAAATATAATTTAAAAAAGTTTTAGTTTGAAAAATTAATTTTTTAAAATATTGTATATTCTAAAAAGATTTTGTGTGGAAAATGTATACTTTTGAAGATATTTTTTTAGAGTCTGAATGTTGTGTTTTAGGAGCGTTTTGTTTAGATTAACAAGGGTCTTTGTAGCTTTTAGATTCTGAATTTAATTTCTTTTTTAATGATTATTTAATTATTAATTATTAATTACGTTTTCGTCAGCGCCAAGGAGAATTGAAATGGGCATCGAAGACTGACTTGGCTTTTAGTATTCTGCTATATCTTTGTATTTTATTAATTAATTAAGTTAAGCAATTTAATTAATTCTTTTATATAAATGTTGTATATTTTGTATTGCAGGGAAACTTTATTAAACCAGTTGAGACTAAGTTTTGCAAACACCCTTTTTTTTAAACGAGTCCTTTTTTAAAGCAATATTTTTTACATGTTTTTTCATATTATCTACGTGCCAATACATTTTACAATTTTATATACATACATGTAGATACATTTAATACATGGAGTGTCGAGTTTTGAGTTGTTTAGCGCCATTTTTAAATGTTCACATGGAACCAATGTGATGCGTCTGTTCACACCATATAGGGCAACTTTTACAATACCGACATTTAACTATTTTAAGTGCTTTATAATGGCATGTGAAGAGCATGCCTAGGCAACCTTTTAGCAAATGAATAGAACAACTTGGCTTTACGGCAATTCGGTTTTACATTTGTCTGTGTTCTATAACCAAAAAAACGAAACCAAAAAGGGCTAGTACATATATAAATTTGCACAAATATGTTTAAAATAATAAATTTTTATGAACATAACAAACAAAAAAATTCTTGCGAAAGAGAAAGTAGATAATGCAACCCTCCGGATTTAATGCGCGCCTGTGTAAACCCACCATTAGGCCATAAAGTGAAAACATCTAAAAAGGTATATCGATGTATTGCCTTTTTTTGAAACATCGATAGTTTCGATAGTAACATCGATGTTTTTGCAGCAGAAAATTGCGAAAATTGCAATTGCAATTGGACAACGAGCGACACAAAACGCGTAAAATTACAATAAACGAGTGAAAACGAATCGGAAACGGCCAGGCAACGGACAGTCCACAAAGATCGGATGGCAGGGCAGTAGCAGCCATCCAGTGAGACGCGACCAGAGGCGCACTTGGCGCGTTGTGGGAAAAACGCGTTGCGTTCTTTCCAATCCATTCCCAACAAATCCCGCACACACACACACGCGCGCGCATACAGTGAACCGAGTGAAAGTGCATCTACATCTGTGATTCGTATAATAATGCGTCGCGCATACGCGAATTTCGGAACCACCAAAGACTAACAAGTGATCCGACGACTGTGTACGTTGGTTAGGGTAACTAACTAACTAACCTCCCCCGCAATGGCCGAGCAGGTGGTGCTGGTGCCGCACACCAAAGAAACGGATGAGCTGGAAACCGCCGCCTCCGCGTCCGCTTGCGACGATCCAATGCTGAATGGCGAATTGGATCCGGAGGCGCCCTGCTGCCATGTTAGCATGAAGATGTCCATCGATGCGGCCACGCCGCGACTGTGCGACGATGCCTGTGTGCCGCTGAAATGCGACGCCACCAGTTTCGTCGACGCCACCGCCTCCTCCTCCTCCTCCTCCACCGCACCCGTTGACGCTGCTGCTTCCCAGCTGCCTCCGTCGCCACCGCCCGCACAGGCGATGCCGGCACGGAGCAGCACGCCGCCTTGCCAACTGCTGGAGCGTCTCAACTTCCCCGAGGGCAACATCATCAACACACTGCATACGATCCTGGCTTTGCCGCCCTTCGATCCCTATGCTCCGGCCCCGAAATCGGAGACGGTCTACAAGGAGGTGGTCTCACTGATGGAATGGAGCTTGCGCGAAGACAACGCGATCGAGCTGCAGCTGAGCGACAAGCTATTGCACGAGTGTGAGCACAAAGGCGGCGGCGATCCCAACGACGAGACGCGATCGTATCTGGTGGGTTTTAGACTAGATAATGGTGTCATATATAGAGATTGTCCAAGTATCCTAGTATCTTAAATTAGGAGTTTTTGCAGTTTATTTGCAAGGCCGTGTAAATTCTGACAGAATCTCTAAGAAGATCTTTTGCGAATATATGTTAAGCCAGGTCAGGTACGACTGTCAAGCTCAAAGCCCGATAAAAAACACCTATAAGCGCTATAGATAACAAAATCCAGCCGCATTGGCGTCGGATTTGCTTTTTTAAACCTAAGCGTGGCCCCTGTGATATACAGAGTTTATATTTGTAAACCTAACCGCGACATCCAGTCCATCTATATTTGTGGGCTAGCTGGCGCCTATTCAGAATGAAAATACAGAAAAAACAAACTCCTTGAGAATATTTGGGCTTATTCCAATACAAATCCAACCCAATCAAGTCCTGGTATTAGTGGTTGATAGCCACAGAAGAGCGAAAACAACTTCTTCCATTATTATGCCCTTGGAGGGTATTATAATTTTTGTCAGTAGTATGCAAGGAGACATTTCCGACCCTATAAAGTATATATATTCTTGACCAGCATCAACAGTCGAGTCGATCTAGCCAGGTCCGTCTGTCTGTTTCTACGCAAACTGGTCCCTCAGTTTTGAAGCTATCTAAATGCAACTTTGCATATAGTCCACTGACTACTTAAACGTATTTTGGACCTCCCAAAGTTATCTTCCTTTCTTGTTAAATCTAAAATGTAACATATATAGATACTTATACTTTAAATATCGACTTTTCAGATGGCCATTGAGAACATGCGCCTGTTCTCGGAGGATCCAAAGAATCCGCTTCGCGATGCCGATGGACAGTTGCGTGCAATTACGGTGGGTTTGCCTGAAAACATGGACGAGCTTTATAATTGGACGTACCTCCTAATCCATTGTAGCTTTATTTCCAGAATCTTGCCTTCATATTTGTGAAACACCCGAAGGAAGAGTTCTTTACATTTTGTTCCTGCAAGGAATGTCTCGAATACCGCGAAACCATTATGGCTATTATGATGGACCAATTTAAGGCTGCTCACATGGTGGTCATGCTGCTGGACGTATTGATCAAGGCTTATAGTCCCATGTTGAAGTAAGGACCAATATAGGCAAAACAGATATTTAATATCAAATTTTGCTTTATAGACTCAAGGACAAAAAATATCACTAATAATAATAAATTTGATTCATCTTCAAAATAGAAACGATGCTGCCTACAATAAGTTTGAGAAGCTGCTTGAGTGCAACAAGGAAATCTATTGGATTACAAGTGGCTACCTCTACGACAAGAATGCCGAATATCTTGATTTTATTGATGACACAGCGATCTCCGATAATATGATATTAGTGCTATTCAGCGCAATGTAAGTAACTGACCATTAATTGACTCTATTTAGTAAATATATTTTACCTGTCTTACAGCTTGATGGCGAACAATCCTATGCTGCTGCTACAAATACTCGCCTACAACGTGGAATGCATTGTCAAGGCATTCTCGGAGGGCATGATTGAAATCGCCCAGAATATCCAGGAGAACGAGAAAACTCCGGCGGAAAGGATGCTGACATGTAAGATGAAGGAAGAGTGGATAGCTAAGTCTAATTGTAATATCTGGGATTATGTATTTGTAAACAAAGAATTGAAATCTTAAAGTTCAATTAAGCTTTAAATTTGAAAAGTGCTGAGCATAATAATTCATAATTATGTGTTGCTAAATTGTAAATTGTGGGTGTAATATAAATTTATAGCCATTATAACATAATTGATTATTATATAATTAATTTTTTCATTTCTAAAAACCCATTTAAGACATACTTGATGGCTACTCCGATCTGAACTGCATCTCGCAAAAGATTTCCCTGAGCCTCTTTGCGTTCGAAAATGATTTCCTGCGCAAGTTCAAGCTCTCCTGGGTGCTACTGTGCCAACGCCTTTTCCAGCAACATGTGTTCACTCCGCTGGGCGATACCATGCTGGCCTGCATTCTTGCGCTCAAGGAGGCGATTCCATCCTCCCAGACAACGGCGTTGATAAAGCGTTATATGCTCTTCGACGAGCACATGCACTCCATTGAACGGCGGTGGACGGACATTTGGATTGAGCTGAACAAGTTCAACTTGTCGCCATCGGAAAATGAACGTCGGAGTGGCCTGCTGGATGTGTACAACATATTCGACAAGGTCGTTCTGGATGCCACCTCATTTTCGCTGCCGGACATCAGCGACGACGAGTTCATTGACTTCCAGCGCATCGTGGACCGTCAGCTGGCGTGGAAGAACATCATGGCATTCACGAAGCTTAAGTGGCCCGATGGCTTCTACGATCCGCCGAATAACTTGCTACACGAAGATCTCTGCAAGAAGTGCAATTCATTGCTCGAACACCATAACGAGTAAGTAGTAGGAGTTTTGGGACCAAGGAGCGTGGAATAAGTCCTTAAAAATCATTTAACTTTAATCTTTTGACAGGAACTGCAAATGCATAACTTGCTCCATCGCAGGCACTCCCATGAGACCGCGACAAGCGGGTCATTGCGCCAAATGCACAACGCTCGGCATTGTCGAGAAGGATCCCAAGCTGATGAAATCAAAGATTCTTAGCACTTGCACCAGCGACGAAGCTAAGCACAATGCGGCGACAGCGAGCACAAGCTCCGCTGCCCAGCAGCATTTGCAGCGTCGGTCCAGTGATTTGCCGGAGGATGAGCCAGCGTCCGGTACTGGCGGCGGCCACAGCAG